CCCTTGCGGTTGGTTCTTGCGTGCGGAGCGGGGCTGGCATTTTGATTTTCCGCGGAGGGCGCGGAGGGGGGCGGGGCTCACAACGGGAAATCTGGAAAGGATCAAAATGCCAGACAAACTTGGGGTGGGCTCCCCACCCCCGCCCTTGCGGTTGGTTCTTGCGTGCGGAGCCGGGCTGGCATTTTGATTTTCCGCGGAGAGCGAGGAGGGGGGCGGGGCTCACAACCAGAAATCTGGCAAGGATCAAAATGCCAGACAAACTTGGGGTGGCACCAGCTCCCAGATCTCAGGACCAGCACTGCGATGGAGGCCAGCAAGTTCGAAGTTGCAAGCTGCGACCTGCTCAAAGTGCCCGTCGCTGGCCGCATGCAAAAATTTGGACCGGGACAGCCCATGTTTGATGCGATGCTGTGTTCTTCAATGCTCTTGCATGAATCCAGCCCGCTGCATTGAGCTAGTTGAGCCGCTGCCCAAGGCTGCAATCAAATACCACTGTATCGCCGCTTGTAGTTGTGGCAAGAACCTTTGAGATCCTTTGAGCCGTGGATACCGTTAGGAAGTATACGTTGTTTTGGACCTTCATTTGTGATGGCGTTGGTGATCAAGTCGTGTGGCCCAGCAGTGCTGCCCGAGCCTGAGAAAAGACGACAACGAACACGCCAAGCTGTCAACACGTGCATGTCGTGCATAAGAAATGAGATTATATAAGCATCTTTGTCAAGTCATTCGCGCGGCAACAGCTTTGCCCAGATACTTCATGCAGTGCAGAGGGAGGTGGCTTAGGGCCCTATTGAGCTTCAGATTGCAGTTCACACCATATCGTATGGTACAATGCACAGCTTGGCTGTCTTTCCTTGCACTATGGCGGAGCACAGAAAACACATAGTAGGAAGTTCCATAATTGCATTTCAATCATCGAAGGTTTGCCCAGAAATGTATGTCTGAAACCCACGGCTTCAGTCTAGCTTGAGGCTGGGGAATGTGGAGCCTCCGCCTACTTTTCAGACGACCATTTCAAACGACGGTCAGGCGGTTGGCTCATTCAATTTAGCGCTGTGGATTTTGTCCGAAGAAAGCAGGACGGTGACTGGAACAAAAACTGGACTGCTGCCCCTTACCCGGGCCCCGCGGTCCATTCCTCAGCTTAAGAAGCGGTTTAGGCTGCAGGCGATGGCTTCGTGATTGTTAGGTGCGAATCGAGACTTTCAATGCAGCTGTCCAAGCCTTAATAGTAGCAAATCTCGGTCACTCGAGTGTTTGGTGCCAGCCGAGGCTGCCGATGGACAGACGAACAGTTTGTTCGATTTTTGGCAGGCCAGCACCCGCCAGAATGCTTGCTCTATGGCATCAAAGAAAGACCCTCCAAGAGAAGCTGTGGGAATGAGGGGGTATCTCGGTATCCCCATGTAACGTGAAGCACAGTGGTCTTCTCGCTCACGGGCGAAGGGGCTGTTGAGTGGGGGGCGGGCTCCCTCGAGAGTTGAAGCTTGTGAACTCCTCTGTAGCTGCCCGGGTGTGATTACTCATACTCCGCTGGAGTTTTCGGCATGTAGTCGCGGTTGCAGCGCACGTGACAGACTCTCGATTCGGCGCCTGCCGTTGTTTTGCTTTGCAGGCGCTGAGATCCGCAAGTAACAATGTCACAAAACATTCGCATCGCGTGAAAGGCAGCGCCGTAGAGCGCCGCAGTTCATGCCAGGTACTGCGCGATTTCTGCTGCTGCTGCCGTTGAGTGCGTGCCTAAGCTTGGTGGGACGGGTGCAGTTGCTGGAAAACTTTGGGTTGCATTGACAGGGCCAGTTGCTAGTGCTGATGCTTCAAGCATGGCAAGATGCAAACGTGGAAAAGCCCCACCAGCTGTTTGCGCGAACGCTGGGAGGGTGTAGTTTGGAGAAGTGCTACCACCCCCGCGTTCTTGCGTGCGGAGCGGGGCTGGCATTTTGATTGTCCGCGGAGGGCGGGGAGGGGGGCGGGGCTCACAACCGGAAATCTGGCAAGGATCAAAATGCCAGAAAAAGCTTGAGGCGGCTGGCATTCTGATCTTCCGCAACTGGAAGCCTGGAAGATGCCAGAGAAAGTTGGGGTGGGCTCCCCACCCCCGGCCCCATATACCCGCCCGCCCTTGCGGTATCTCTTTATTAAAGCCCATGGTCATGTTTTACTTATTCTAGGGCCACCCTTACCGCTCCTGTGAGAAACTCCTATAAAATTATGGGACTCTAAGGCCGGCGAACACAACTTAGGTATGGGCGACACCTCTGCGTGTCTAGTACTTGGGGCCCGCCTCATGAGCCGGCCTAGTGCAGGGGGCCATGCAACATGCTTCCTTGACAAGGAGTCGTAGGTCGTGGGGCTTCCTTCTCTCTCCCTGCAGCGTGAAGCGTTGTGAAGTTTCTGCATCCTTTATTAGGTACTTGTTGCCCACATACTGAATCACAGAGGGGCGACCGCAACGGCTGCAAAGGTGAGTCCACTGACTACACTCGCAGACAAACACCGGCGACGTCCCGAACGCCATGTAACTCTGATTCGCTGGATGTTCGCGCTGGCATGGTGAATCTGGGCGATGATGGTGATCGTGATGATGGTGCAGATGATGGCTTCGGAACCTTACCCTGATTGTGCACTGCAAGTCGTACAGGCTCCTTCCCTTTTTTGATTGTGCGGAGTGATGTGTAGCCTGTTTCTGTGCTCGATGTGTTCGATAGCTTCTGCAACATAGCCGACCATGAAGAGGCTTCCTGCAAATGGCTCTTGAATCGGAAGCGCGGGCCATTCGCTGAATCGTGATGGTGCGGCACATCCGGCTCGGTTGCGGTCGCTGTCGTTCACAAGCCTTTACCCCTGCTTGCACTTGCCTCTAGCCTGGTGGTGGGTGGGTGAGTGTAGCGTAGCGGTTGTTTCCCCTGCGAAAATTCATGAACTTGTTCCCTTCTTTGCACTAAGGGAAGAGTTGGCCGACAGGCTTCGCAGGTGCTTGCAGTGGAGGGGGCCGGGCTTTTAACAATGGATCAGGATTTCGGGTTTCAGAGCGTTGGATGCAGACTTTGTCAATTTGGGGTTTCGGGTTGTTGCGCTGGGTTCAGGATGTGGAGGGTTGAGTAATTGGGGAGTCTAGCATTTCCAGTTTCGGCTGACCTCTTTGGGGTTTCGGATCTCGGGTTTGAGGTATAGTATATGGTCTCTGGATGATGCTCTGGCCTGAGGGTGTTGTCGTTCTGACTTTCTTGGAGTGTTGTGGCGATTTGAGGCTCCAACAATTTCTAGGCGTGTAGCATCCTTGGCGATGCAGATTTTCACCCCTCGGGATGTTTTGCTTGCAGAGGGTGGTAAGAGTGACAAGCAGCTTCAAGGCATCATGCTGTCTCTCCCGGTTAAAGCTACTCCCTGGCAGTGTTGTGATCGGCGAAGCAATGTTCAGGTTTGCAAAAGCATGGCCCCTCTCTTAGTAATTAGTGCACGTTGTTATAGTATCCGCGTAGACCGGACCCTAAACGACAAGCATCCAGAGCCTCATGCCGTGCACCGCTGTGGCCAGGGATGTAGCGCGACGCTGGCTTGCAGGCGGGTGGTGCCGGCGGGGCTCTAATTGTAGAGTTTCATGAGTTTTCGCTGGCAGCCTTTTTGCACAATTGAAGATTGAAGTTCTGAGTGTCGCACCGCTACTTGGCATGGGCTTACCTGGCCTCTTGACCCTTTTAGACATTCGGCTCAAGTGTGGCCGGGAGACGCTCCAAGCTTAAGACAGAGCAAGCCGAAGAGATGGAGGGCCTTAGCAATGGCGACACCGCCTGGATGGCTACGTCCTGCGCCCTGGTCCTCTTTATGACACCAGGACTCCTGCAATGCAGACAGTGACGATGCTCTCGCTCCCTTTTCGTGTGGCTCCTCCCTAAATACCGCTGAATCCCCTGCTTCCCCGGGCTTGCTGGCTGCACCTGCCCACCCACTGGATACCACGAGTATGCACAGTATGCAGGTCGCACATGTCGCAAAGACGCAGCCTGCTGTACGGCCTGCGCGTATAGGTTGTGTCGCAGATGCAGAGAACTTGCCTGCACTTTTACGACGGGCTTCATATAACTTTTCAGGCGTCGCCTTCTCCTCAACGGCGTGAGCAGTTGCAGGTCGCTGCCTGCAAACCTGCTGTTGCTATACTGGAAGACTATGGAAGACACCTGGGAGCAGATCCCTGCTCCTCCTAGTCGCATTGTCCCTTAAGCTTTCGGGTTTGTTTGGGTTCTTGGTTAGCCCCCCTTTGTCACTTGTGCGCCCGCTATGGCGTGATCTTGCATTAGTCATCATACGCAGCTGTTGCTGCCCAGTGCCTGCGCGCTTGTGTGCGCTTGTCTTGCTATGGCTGTTTTTATTTCGTTGTTTCAGTTTAAACTTGGTGGTTGTTTTCCCTCCCTGTTGGGTTTAGGTCGCAGCCCTTTCTCCCAGGCGCTGCCTCTAACCACCTACGGGTATAGGTTGTGCCGCAGATACAGATACAAACAAGATCTTGCAGGACTAGCCTTCTTCTATGGAGGTTTGGTACGAGATACCAACATTGTGAACACGATGATGATGTCAATAATTTCCATGGGGCTCACGACCATCACTTGGTTGGTGTTCGGCTTCAGCTGGTCCTTCGATGAGTGGGGTGCGGGCAAGGGCTTCACATATGTGGGCTTCCGCAACCTGGACATGGTGTCTTAGCAGCTGAGTGGATACATTTTACACTTTTTTGGATAATATTACCCCCTATAAAACTGAGCGTGTACACTTTTTGGGGCTTATGAACTCAGCAACTAAGGTGTGGCCCGGCACCACCATGCCCGGCCTGACGTTTGCCGTCTTTCAGATGACGCGGCTCGGATTGTGAAAATCGCGACTTTGTGTAGGCACTTGTCCAATTCTCAATGTGAGGCACATGTGTGTTGTGTCTTCTGGATGATTTTGTAGTTTGGACGGATTGGTAGTTTTAGGTTTGCCATCATTGCAGCGGCCATCATTTCTGGAGCGGTGGTCGAGCGCATCCGATTTTCGGCCTATGCCATCTTCATTGTTGCCTGGGTCCTGGCCCACCACTACCATCAGCAGCAGCACCATCGTAGTTTACCAGGATAGTGACACTGATCAGCAATCACAACAGCCGTTAGAATCTTTAACAAAAGTCAAAGCCCCTGAAGCCCTGAAGCCCAAACCTCCCTATAGGTCCCTTAAAGGGAACCCTTAAGGGAGCCCTTAAACGGAACCCCTTAAACATCAGAATCCCTAAACAGAAGCTCACAAACAACTGAGGCCATCCCGAGGAGCCCGGGGAGCTGTCAAGGCCCTGGCCAGGAGAGTAGGTTTGGTTTGCGTAGCTTCAGGGGCCTTCGGGTTTAGGGTTTCGGGTTTCGGGTGTAGGATTTCGGGTTTAGGGTTCAGGGTTGGGTGTCGGGCTTCGGGTTTTAGGGTTTAGGGTTCAGGGTTCAGGGTTTAGGGATTTAGGGATGTAGGAAGCTGTGAGGTTTGGGGTGTATGGTTTGGGGTATCCCCACATCACCTTGTTCTAACTATTTGGGTACAGGCCAGCTTGAACAACACCTTGAATCTCAAGCATGACTTCCGAAGTATTGCAGACTTCAAAAACTAAACCCTAAACCCGACTGTCCGATGCGATGGCATAGGTGCGTCTGCAGGACGTGCTTTGGGCTCTGGAGCGTTGCTTCGTTTCTCTGTGGAATGCTCTCTCGTTCAGGCTGCAAGCCCCCCTTTGCAGTAGTCGGGTTTTCGTATGCCCTTGACTCCTAACCCCCAAACCCCAAACCCAAAACCCTAAACCCCAAACCTTACAGTTGAACCGGAAATGCGCTTGTAAAACACTACACAGTGGACAGGCCTCAAGCCCTAAAATTCAGATCCCTTACACGAACTCTAAACTCTAAAACCCCGAAGGGAACCCCAAAGCCTCTTAAAGGTAGGCCTCAAATGTCCGGCGTCTTTTGCCTAAACCCATGTACCCTTAACCCTAAACCCCAGACCCTCAGCATTAGACCTAAACTCCAAGCCCCAATCCCTAAGCTCGCAAAAGCCCAAAACCCTAAGCGCTGAGCCTTCAACCTGAAGCCCAGAGCCCAAAACCCTAAACCGTAAGCCTAAGCCCTCAACCCTGAACCCTAAACCCGAAGAGCCCTTTAAGAAGCCCTCTGAGGTCCCCTTTCTAAGCAGAACCCAAAGCCCAAAACCCTCCACCCTAAGCCCTAAACCCTAAACCCTAAATCCTCGAGCCTCAGCCTAAACCCCAAATCCTAAACCCTCAACCCTAACCCTAAACCCTAAACCCAAAGCCCCAAAAGTACCCGACGTCTTCCGCACCCTGAACCCTAAGCCCCCAGAGCCCTTTAAGGTCCCCCCTTTCTGTAAAGCAGTTTATAAACCCTAAACCCAAACCCTAAGCCCAAGCCCTAAACCCTAAAGCCTAAACCCAAAACTCTAAGCCCAAAACCCCCAAAAGATTATCCGAACCCTAACCCTAGGAGCCCCTTAAGGAGCCCTTCAAGGTCCCCCCTTTTTGTGTTAAAGCAGAACCCTAAACCCCAAACAATATCCGACGTCTTCTGCACCCTGAGCCCTAGGCCCTAAGAGCCTTGAAGGAGCCCTTTAAGGCCCCTCTTTTTGGTAAAGCAGAACCCTAAACCCCCCCAAAAATATCCGACGCCGCCTTTTATAAACCCTAATTAAACCCTAAACCCTAAACCCCCCCAAAAGAATCTCCGACGTCTTCTGCACCCTGAACCCTAGGCCCTAAGAGCCTTTAAGGAGCCCTTTAAGGTATCCCCCGGTTTTGGGTAAAGCAGAACCCTAAACCCCCCAAAAAATATCCGACGCCACCTTTTATAAACCCTAAACCCCAAACCCTGAACCCTAAACCCTAAACCCAAAGCCCAAAACCCACCCCAAAAAAATTTCTCCGACGTCCTCCGCATCCTGAACCCTCAGCCCTAAGAGCCTTTAAGGAGCCCTTTTATGGTCCCCCCTTTCTTTGGGTAAAGCAGAACCCTAAACCCTAAACCCCAAACCCTAAACCCCAAACCCTAAGCCCAAAACCCTAAACCCCAAGCCCAAAACCCCTAAAAGATATCCGAACCCTAAACCCTAAGATAAGAGCCCTTTAAGGAGCCCTTTAAGTTCCCCCCCCTTTTTCTTTTAAAGCAGAACCCTATACGCCCAAAATTTCTATCCGACGCCATCGTTTAGAAACCCTCAACCCTAAACCCTAAAGCCAGGTATCCCCCTTTTTTGGTAAAGCAGAACCCTAAACCCCCCCAAAAA